ACATTTGTAGGATAGTTTAGTTCCCAGACAGTTTGTGTCTAATTTGATCTTCCGGGACTCTGTCTTCAGTGGCTACCAGATTCTGATGCCACAAGGTCCCAGCTGTCCCTCATCACAGACCCACCAGCGGAAAGCTAGGGGTGAGATGACCTCAGCCACACCAAGTGTCCTGTTCTCTCCACAGAGTGTCTCCACTAATGTGTGTGGCCAGTCCCGCCCTCCTGCCCTGGGCTGGCATCTCTCCCAGAGGCACCTTCTGCAGGCCTCCCTCCTTCCATCTTGAAGTGGCTGAGCCAATGCTCAAACATTCAAGAGACACACAGGGAGCTCATGTATTAATCTTCCTGCTTTACTGTGTGTGCCTGGCCTTGGTATTTTTTTTTTTTTCCTTTTTTCCTTTTATTTTGAAAACCCCACAGAGGCCCCTTGTCTCCTCCCGTCCAGGCAGCTCTATCTGCCGCCTGGGCCCCTGGGCTGAGATTCCCCTGAGGACTCCTCAGGAGCAGACACTAGGGCCTGCTCCAGGCCTTAGTTCCCAGAGACAGGTTGGGTACCTCCTGGTGGCTGGAGTTGAAAAGACTGGAGGGATAGTGCTGGATGGGCCCTTTCTACAACTGACTGCACAGGAAAGCACATGGTTCTAACCTGCTCCACTCTGCCCACAGAAGGCCCCTCCTCAGCACAGTGCTGCAAGGAGCCCGTGCAAGGGTTACAGCCTGTCTTTAAAGACTGTCTGAGGTGCTCTGCTCAATGAGGGCTGCATCAGTAACCCAGACGGAGACTGCAGGGGATTCCTCTGTGCCCTAGCTGGCCTGCCCAGCACCCTTCGTGCCCCAAGTGTGTGTGTGTGTGTGTGTGTGCGCGTGCGCGTACGTGTGTGTGTGCATGCACGGGCCAAGGCTGAGCTGCCTACAGGCTCACCCACTACCCCCGTGCATCTTTGCCCCAAATAAGTCTTTGTCCAATGGTACTTTGTTCAAGAACAGCACATGCCCAACCTGTTGGACACTGTCATTTGGGCCTTGCCGGTCATCACAAAATGGCAGTACTGTAGCTATTGTATGATATTGTGCACACAGAAGTCCTAAGGAGGGTGAGGAGGATACGCTCCTCTCTCTGCAGCACCTGGCCTGCTAGAAGGTGTGCAAGCTTTAGGGCTAGCATGCCAGCATCAATCTCCTCCCTGTTACACTTGGCAAAAGTGTTGTGGACCATTACAGAAAAGACCCCCTACCCAACCCCACCTGAGGAAGACCCAGCTCAGTGTGACGGCCACGCCAGTCACTGGGCTGCAGCACTCACTTGGAGGTGAGTGCCCGAACAAGCCCTGCTCACAGAAGACAGTGGGTGGCCACTGCTCGGGACCATCCTATCGACCTCAAGGATCCTGACTCCATTCTACAGAAGGAAGGAGCCTCTGAATTTACTAAAGTGGGCTTTAATCCCTGTACCTTTCAAAATCTTGGTTCCCTTCAATCCTCTTCCCATGAATGGACTCGGGATTCTGTAGCTACCTCCCCAAGAGGGGTTCTGGAAGCTTCTGTTGGCCCATTCCTTGATTAGCTGACAGCTGTGAGTGAGATGTCTGCTGCTAACTCAGCTGTTTCTCCTAGAGAGCACACTGAGGTCCAGACAGATCCCAACCTCGGCCCTGAACAATGTGTGCTGTAAAGTTACTTGATGTATATTTATTATAATTATTTATGATTGCATTGACAGACTTTCCATTCAGTCTGATGCTATTTACACTATGCTGTGTAAAGAAAGCTCACTACAGGAAAAAGTCACACCAATAAATAACCTTCATCTAACTGATTGACCCTAAGAGTGTGTGATCATGTCACTGAGTAAGCTCACAGGCTGACACTGCTAGATGGCTTTGATCCCTAATGTCACAAGTGGCTAGGAATTAACATTTGTAGTTAGCAGGGTCTCTCTGCACTTGATGTGATCCGTACTCCATTAGCTTACTAACAGCCACCTCCTGTTCCATGAAACCCCTCAGTCTGAACATTCCACATAGAAGGAAGAGTAGAGCCATGGTCAGAGCTCAGCCTAGCCATGCATATGCTGCCCACTCTGTCCTGGCAGCTCATCTGTGCCCTGAAGCCTGGCATGGAGCTTTTTCAGAGCAGCTGTTACCCTGGAAGAGTTTGGCTGGTCCTAAAAGTCCTCCTCGGGGTGACAGTGCTTCTAGACCTGCTTGAACAGGGACCCCAATTCCATTCTAACCTGGTTGTCCCCTCCTACTGTTCCCATGGTCATCGTCACCTAGTCTCCTAAATACATCTTCATCACAGGGACAGAAAGCACTCCTGTGGGTGCCAACCAAGCAACTTTCTTTCCTTACCCTGTCACTGGAAACAGCACAAGCCAGCACTCATTCAGAGCACAGCAAGGACTCCCCACTCTGCAGTATATTCTTACAAAGCACATTCAGCAGGCTCCTCAGCAGGAGGGTGCCGCTGGGACACAGAAAGACGTGTGGTCTGGACCATGCTGCTTTGTGGGGCTTTGCACCACATATCCATGGCAGCCCTATTGGTGGGCAACCAGTAGGGAAGGATGCGTGTTCATCAAGACACACTTGAGAGACTCCAGACAATAGCCCCAGCCAGCCAGCAGGTGAGGTCTGCAAGAGCAGAGTGATGTAACCCATCACTCAGACATCTGAAGCATTGGTCCCAGAAAGAAGCCAGCACACTAGTGACTTGGAGAGCATCTCCCCTGGGTGTGCACATGCCTTTGTGCAGGGAGGACCACTGTGAAGGGGTCTCGTGAAGACTGAAAGACAAGTGGACCACACATCTGCTGTACAGAGCCATGAAAACTCTGTGAGGCGGTTGATCTTAAGTCGCAGTCTCTGAGAAAGGCCAGCTCATGGAAATGACTGAGCTGAAGGAAATACTCATAGCACTCAGGCTGTTTCCTGTTTCAATTTCAAAAAGGTATGTGGCTGGGCAAAATGGCACACACCTTTCACCCAGCATTTGGGAGGCAGAGGCGGGTGGAGTCCCTCTTGAGTTCCCAGACAGTCAGAGCTATGTAGAGAAACCCTGTCTCAACAGCAACAAAAAAATGGGAGTGGGGAGCTGTGTACCAGGAGAAAACAACAGAATTTCAAGTAGATGGGGGAGGAGGGGTGAGGCTTTCAACTGTCCTGAAGGAAGATCTGCAAATACAGACTTGGGGAAGTGCCAGTAAGTAAAGGCTGCTGGGAGCTGCCGTAGGGCTTAGTGCCCATCATGACACAAGGCATCCAAATCCCAGAAACACACCTGAGATAGGCTCTGAATATTAGCATCAAAACAGCTGAAAGATGAAGTCTATGGAGAACAAAAAGACAAAGGATATTTTAAAAATGTTAGGATCAGTCCAGGAGTACAGAGAAAAAGCCAGCAGTCAATAAATGAGTCCAGAAAGCTCTGAACAGGTGAAGGACATGGGTCTACAGCAGAGGGCGCTCTGTAGATGGATACAGCACAGGCCACACTCAGTGAACTAACAATCCTAGGATGCAGAGCTTCACAGGAGAAAAATCAGTGGTGCAAGAGTGGGAAACTTTGTAACGTGGAAAATGGCAGATGCCTTCTAACCCTAGCCAAGACAGACTGCAGACAGACAGACAAAAAACTGGGACAGGCTTCCAATCAACATCCACCAGCAAAGGACCAAGCTCAAGTGGGGTGAGGGATGGTGGTGTCCTGCAGAGAAAAAGGGAAAGCTCAAGGCCAGCCTGGGCTACATGACACTTTGTCTCTCACCATCACCCCCAAAAAAGAAAAATAATAGGGATGTAACTATGATAAGACTTCATTATATGGCAGGGCATAAACACTACTTATATCAGGCCAGTCTGGACTACATAGTGAGGCATCAGTTCAGCCCACACAAAATGTACATTTTATGTATGAAAAAGCCACTAAGGATACATGAGAGTTTGGACAAGAACAATGTCAAAGGACTGGCTTGGAACCATGGCTGTGAACACCAAGGTTGGCTGAGATGAAAGCGCAGGCTCCTGAGAATACAGAAATCTTTACTTGTAGCTACCCTCGGCTTACTTTGGTGTTGAAGTACTTCTAAAAAGTGTATCCATGAGACATTCAGGACAATAGATTACAAACCAACCACAAACCCATCTGGTGTCATTTCCCCATGTCTCATCCGCACGGAATCCTGTGGGGTGAGAGTTCTACTTCCCACCAGGCCTGTGCTCCAGGCTCACCAGTCACCAGGAGAGGCTCACATGGCCCTGAGCCCTTCCTGCCACCTCTTTGAAGTCCCGAGAAGACAGCAGTGACACGGAAGCCCTTCACCTGATGACGGCTTTTGTGAGCTAACCTCCCTTTGTGGGTCTGGTATGACTGTCAGTCTGCCTATAGTGTGTCTTTCTCTGGCTCTGCTGACATTAGCCGCACACAGCCTCCTGTGAGTCACATGGTCGCCCATGCTCCATCTATGGAGGCGGCAGGTCTTCCATCTGCTCAGTCCCCGTGGCTGACAGGAGTACTGAAGCAGGACTCCCTTTGAGATTCAGGATTTGTATTTTGCTTTGACACAAATCCTGAGCAATCTATCTCCCTCAGCCATCTGATGGCTACAGGTGTGATGCACTGTGGCTGGCCCAGGACTGGGCACCTAAGAAGCCATCTTTTTCTCTCCCAAGTACCACAGCTGCAGTGAACCTGAGTTTCATCCAAAGGGCAGATTTTGGAGGAAATTGCTGGCACTTAAGGCAAGGGCAGGCAGAAGATTGAGGAGTTTGAGGCCAGCCTGGTCTACATGGGACTGTCTTAGGAAAGGAGAACACAACCCCTTGCTTCTGGGCACTCTGAGAAGGAACCCATGCTGGATATCCCACAGAGTCCACTTCCTCAACTGCGCCTAAGTCCAGAGGCTGAAGCAGGAAGACTGCAAGTTCAAAGCCAGTCTAGGCTATGCAATGAGACTGCACACCCCACCACCTCTATAGAAAGAACCACAAGCCTCCGAGGAGCTCTGGGTACAAACTTTATTTCTGTTACAAGGAAACAGATAATTAGAACAGTAAAATAAAAAGGGAAGGGGATGGAACCTCGGCCCTCATGAGGGTGGGCATGGCCCTGGTGGGGACATGGAGAACAAAGCAGGACATTCCCCATGAGGAATAGAGGGTGGTGAGTGACCCACAAGCACCAAAGTGGCCTCCAGTCCATGTATGTGCAGCTCAGCTTGTCCCTAACATGCTGCAAACCCAAACTTAGGACATCACAGGGAGAGAATTGCTTCACTGGTGGCTGAGATTCCCAGAACCCTCCTCTCCGTCCACCAGGACCACAAAGCACCAAGAAGCAGTGGCGATGGTATGTCTGTCTAAGGATGGCGCCCTCATGAGCCCAGAGGGCCACAGATGCCCTCCTCTCACTACTGTTCAACAGTAGCTGTCAGGGCTCCCAGTAGCCCTCCCTCAAACACAAACACGCACAGCACAATCTCAAAGACACAAAATGGCCATAACCTGTGAAAACTGAAACCCTGGAGTCTCTCCTCTTGACGAGCCCGAGAGGCAGTTGAACACTGTACCAGCACGTGCTGCTATGCATAGGGGTGGGCAGGAAGGGCCCCCCATAGTCAGTCATCATTACTCCTCTTCCTCCTCTGCATCCCCCGCTCCCTGCTGCTTTGGAGGCTTTGCCTGTTGCATACACAAGGGAAGACTAAGCAGGGAGACTCCCAGACAGCTTTCCTCACAAAAAGCCACTGGGAGTTTGCCCAGTAAGTTCTCAGCTCACAACCCACCAGCCCCACCCCTGTCTGCACCTGCCCTGAGCATAACTTTGGGACCCCAGTTACCTTTGGGGCTCTGCTGTGGTAGCTGGCAGCTGCAGGGGTAACCCGAGAGCTCCGACCACCTTCACTCGTCCCACTGCAGGGAAAGGTCAGGGGTCAGCTTGCTGAGTTGGGGGACTGGAGGGGACACCAGCACAACAAACCCCTGTGCATAGCAGATGTGGTGGCAACACAGGCAAAACCCAGACCCTTGATGGCAGTGGGGTTAACAGTCAAAGCATGAGCCAAGCAAGCATTCGGTTCTGGGTTCCACCCCCAGCACCCCAAAGAAAAAGGCGAAGCCCTCTCTCTTCCTGTGGACCATGATGGACTCGCTGCATTAATTACTCGGTGTGAGTGCAATGCATGTGGCTTATGTGGCGGTCAGAGGACAAGTCTGTGGACCTGGTTTTTCTGTTCTACCTCTAGGTGAGTTCTGAGGATTGAACTCAAGTCATGAGGCTTTTACAGCAAGTGCTTTTTTTACCCACTGAGCCATCTCACCAGCCCCAGACTGCCTGTTCATGCTCTCTTCAGCCACTATCTACCCCCCCCCCAACGCTGGGGCTGCTGCTTACCTGGCTCCGTATCTCCCAGGGGGCCCATGAGGAAAAGAGGGTGCAAGATTTCGAATAGATTGGATCACTGGAGCATGCCCAGATGCTACCGGCCCATTCTGGCTGCCCCGACTCCGCCCTGGGATGTCCTGGCTGTCTGAGTTGTTGAGCTTCAGCACACGAGGGGGGCTAGGCTGGCACTCAGATCTGGGGTTACAGGTAGTCATGCCTTTTGCTGCTTCCTGCTTGACATCATCCATGCAGCCTGCAGACAGGGCTCCTGGGAAGAGAAGGCAGTGATGGCTTTACCCCATTAACAACTGCAGAGGAGGCAGATGCACTCTTCCTACTCTACATGCTGACTTCCCGACCCTCAAACACAGTCTCCCAGCTGAGCAGCAAATGGATGCCAGCACACTCTGAAAAGTAGTTTGCGATTGGCTTTGTGTTAGAACAATTCAGAAACAGTTCTTGTGCCCCGTCGGACGATAATAAGGCAGTGAGAAGTCACAGCTCACCACACTGACTCACACCTGTCTCTGAAGCCAAAACCCTGTAAAATCTGCACTGAGGACAGCTAGAGATCATGTGGGGACCGCGTAGCCTCAGCAGTTTGCCAGGAGACCCTCATGCATGCCCACTAATGGTGCAGGAAAGCCTCCTGGAGAGAGGACAAGTGGGAAACAGGCCTGAGCCAGCAGTGCTATGTGGCCCAGCTCAGTCCCAGCTGATACCCTGGTGTTTGACCCGCCTCCTGGACAGCTCTGGTGAAGTGTCTTCGGGCTGGGAATCCTGTGTAGGGATGCCCTCCATTGCATGGTAGTTGCCCGTGGCTGGGCGTTGATCACATTGGTCCTAAACAAAAAGAAAAGAAAAGAAAGTGCACCCTGAGGATGTTGGGTAGAGAAGGGCATCAGCCGGGGACACTGAGACTGAGGGGGCCAGACCCTGGGAACGGGCCGCCATCACAGGCTTGCGAGGCTCGAGCAGACATGAAGCCAGGGCTGGCTGAGAGCTGAGAACAGTGTTTTGGCTGGAGTGCTGAAGTGGTGGCTTATTCCTGTCTCTCCTAGATGACAAACAGCCGTTTGTCCTTGAAATTTGAGATGTGCAAAGAGCAAAGAAAAGTGATGCCTGCACTGCTGGCTCTTCATAAAAATGTACCTGGGGGGAAGGAACAATATTTTCCCCAAACAACCTGGGGCACTGGAAAACTGGAGAAGGACTTTGATATGAAGTATAGCGCCCTTCCTTCCAGATGCTCCTGTTGAGTAGAGACATGCTACCAGGTCTCATGGACACAACTCTTCAAAGGAGAGCAGAGCCTGCCTGTCAAAAGCAGGACACCTCTGCTCTCAGGAGATGCCCCCTCAGCCTCTGCTCAAATGCAGTCTCAGATGCAGAGGCCTTGGGCTCAGCTACTAGAAAGCAGGTCTCTGAGGGCAGAGTGCTGGAGAGCATCAGCTGCACCCCAAATGACCCGCAGGGACACCAGAGGGCAGCCTCAGGGACTCTCACCTGATGATGGAACAGCACCTCCTCTTCCAGCTGCACCCCACAGAACTCACAGGGGATGATAATGCTCTCTTCCACGGCAGCTGTGTTTCTCAGGCCCATTAAAGTGTCTAACTGGTTACTTGTTGCCTGCTGTAGAAAGTTCTGGAAGATGACACCACGATCCTCTACCCCCCTGATGGAAGAGCTGCCAGTATTGAGTGAACGTAAGGCATGTGAAGGGTTGCAGCTTGTCTGTCATTCCGAAAAAGAAAAAGAAAAAAAATGTTAAAAAAATGAAAAGAAGTTAAGGAAAAATTACATTGCTAAGACATTTTCTCTAAGAAACTACCTTGCTACCCCGAGTGCAGACCTGGAGAGGCCAGAGAGCACCACAACATCTCCATGTTCTGCTGTTCCCCACCACACCAGCATCATGACACACCGCCCACCACCACATCATAAATAGTCTCTTTATCCTTGTTAAAGGCCCAAACACTACATGTAGTCAAAGTGTTCAACAACATTTCCGAGAGCAGGTTATGTCCCATTAGCCAAAATGACACTACATGGGACCTTATAAATGCTGGCCTAGGGGGCTCAGTACACAGACCAAGTACAAAGGGAAACGTGGCTCCCTTATAACCAGGCATAGTGCTATGTGCACCCGGTCCCGGGAGCTTGGGACGCTGAAGCAGAAAGGTCATTTGAGTCTGAGAGGTGATGAGGCTGAGTGCTGCAGCCATATGGTGACAGCAGTCACACGGCACCACAGGCACTGCAGTCAGAAGGCCTCTGCTTGCTTGTCCCACCGAGCACAGCCTGCTCCTTCCTGTCTGAAGCTGCCAAGGACACACACAGAACACACACCTGATGGTCAATGAGCAGCTCCTCCGGGTACAGCTCCTCACAGAACTCGCAGGGCAGCAGAGTCTCATCAGCCGCACCTGGTACCACAGGAACAAGATCTGCAGTCAGCTTTCTCCCCATCGGGGTCTGTCACACAAGTCTGACTTGGGGCAAGAGGGGTGCTGGAGTCCATGAAAAGGACACAAAACAAACTCCAACCTGGTTCCAGGGGAGGGTTCACAGGACAAGAAGTTCTCTAAAGTTTGGGAAAGACTGTTTGGAAGCAGGACACTTTTTAAAAGAAACAAAGATGGAATAAGATGAACATAATGAAGGAATAACCCCATCAAGCACAGACTTCTTGCTGTAGGGTTTGTTTGTTTTTCAAGACAGCCCTGGATGTTCTGGAACTCACTCTGTAGCCCAGGCTGGCCTTGAACTCACAGAGATCTGTCTGCCTCTACCTACCACCATGCCCTGCTTTTTTTTTTTTTTTTTTTTTTTTTCCTTGCTTGATGTAGATTCTTGCTACCAAGCAAGAATCTGGGTATGATGGCACACTCTATAGCCTTAGCACTTGGGAGGATGAGACAGGGTAGTGAGTTAAAGGATAGCCTGGACTATAGAGATAGCTTGTCTCAAGGGAAAAAAAAAGTGACAAGGTTGTAGTGATATTTATGATCTAACAAATAAAGCTTGCCTGAAGATCAGAGCGCAAAGCTAGCCACGCTAGTCTGCCTTAAGGCCAGGCTGTGGTGGTACATACCTTTAATCCCAGCAGCCACACTAGTTAGCCATGGAAGCTGGGCGGTGGGGGTGCACGCCTTTAATCCCAGCACTAGAGAGAAATAGAAGGCGGATGGAGGCAGGAGTGCAGTGTATTCAGTCTGCAGTCATGCTGAGGGCAGGATCGCCCCAGCCTTGGTAGAGGTAAGAACTCTCTAGTAGCTGGCTGCTTTGCTTTTCTGATCTTCAGCTTGAACTCCAATATGTCTCTGGGTTTTTATTATTTATGCTATGGCTGTAGACAGGTCCTGACAGAACTGTGTCCAGACACTAGACATGGAGAACAGCCAGACAGAGGAAGGATGCTCTGCGGACAGCTACCATGCAATTTTCAAAAGGAGCAGTGTGCCCTGGAGTGACACACACCAGTAATCCCAGTACTCAGAGGCAGAGGCAGGCGGCTCTCTGTGATTTCCAGGCCAGCTAAGACTGCCTGGCATCATGAGATCCTGTCTCTAATTAATAATAATAATAATAATTAATAATAACAATAATAATAATCCAAGCCAGCAGTGCCAGTGCATAAAAACTTGGAACAACAAAAAGTGGGATGGAGCAGTATGTTAAGAATGAAGCCGGGTGGCGGTGGCGCACACCTTTAATCCCAGCACTCGGAAGGCAGAGGCGAGCGGATCTCTGTGAGTTCAAGGCCATCCTGGTCTAGAGAGCGAGTTCCAGGACAACCTGGGCTGCAGAGAAACCCTGTCTTGAAAAAGTCTTTAAAAAACTATATTTTTGAGACAGGTTCTCAGTATATAGCCCTGGCATGGAACTCACAGAGATCCGTCTACCTCTCAAGTACTGAAATTAAAGGTGTGTGCCAATACACTTTTATTTGTTTTAAATTGTTGTTTGTATTGGGAGATGGCACAATCATGCCTTGGGGCTCATGTGGTGTCAAAGAACAATTATGGGAGTTGGTTCTAAACCCAAGGTCCCTGGTCTTGGCAACAAGTGCCTCTGCCCACTGAGCCATCTCATAGCCCAGTATTTCAATTTTATGTGAGTAATGGAAGACTAACAAAAATTGTGACAGGAAGGGGCTGGAGAGACCACTCCATGGGTAAGAGCACTTGCTGTTCTTGCAGGGGACCTGAGTTCTCTACCTGACACCTGAACTGTGTCTCGCAACCACTGTAACTCCAGTTCTGGGTACTTCTGGCCTCCCGAGGCACTGAATGCACAGCGTGCATGAACACACAAACAAGCAAAACATTCATAAAAATTAAAACTAACAAAAACTGTAGTCTATGCAAAATAAGCAAACTTACCCTTTATGTCACCCAGAGAAGTGGGCCCACCGTGTGCTGGGTCAGCCTCAGGCACAGACCCCCAGAAGCCCTGTTCTGCCCTGCTGGAGGCCTGTCCTTCATTCTGCAGACTCAGAGCCAACATGAAGTCCAAGTGTGCATTATTTTCACCAGTCTCTTTTGGGGACTGCTGGCCTCTATTCCTTTCCTGCCTTTCTTGTTCTTCAACTGGTAAGAAAACGGCTCATTAGCACATTAGAGATTGCCACCACCCATGCCTGCCTGACAAGCTGTCAAACTAACAGAAACCTGCAGGCCCACTAGCAACCTCGCCCTTCAGAGGCCTGTGAACCTGACATCTGCCATGAGACAACACTCCAGTAGGATCATAAACAAATGACTAGTCAGCAGTGTTACTGAGCGGTCAGTCACTGTGAGATGGGCACCGTGCTGAACACTGCTCACATGTATCTGCACTATGATTAAGCAGAGTCAGGCTGCCTGGACAACCTGAGCCTGACCATTCCCTGTGCTGGTGAGCCCTGCTAACAACCTGAGGACATGCTGCAGGTGCCTCAGGGACAAAGGACGCTGTGAAGCCTATCCCATCAATGCTAGCACCACAGCATATCACAAGGTTCCATCATTCCTGCTGTATTGGCAAGTCTTGCCAGTGTCACCAATGACTGCCATGTTTCAAACATCAAGATCTACTGGTTCTCCAAAGTCCTGCTGCCCTTTGTCCTAGAACTATGGCCCCGCTCCCATTTCCTATGGCTAAGCACAACTCACACAGATTATTCTGAATTGGAAAATGGGCTGTCGTGTTCCTCTGGCTGACAGGCCTACTGTGGAAAAGGTCCGACTCAAAGGCTGTCAGGGGCCTTCCAGGGAGTCTCATGGGAGGGTCCATGGCCTCAATTTGTCTGAGGAGCTGGGATGCAATCCAGGCTCCATCCTGACTCCAAGGCTCATCGTAGGCATCAGGAGGGATGGCAGCTTCATTTCTCTTTTCCTCCTCTGCTCGCCCACAGACTTCAGGGTGAGTCTTCAGCTCTTTCACAAGCACGTTGCGCCCACAGCTGCCACACAGCTCTGTCCGGGCACCACAGTAATCTTCATGCTCCTTCAGCTTGAGAACAGAAAGCTCCAGATCACAGTGCTGGCAGACAGCGAGCCGCAGAGGACACTCAGTCTCCTGCAAGGCAAGGCAGGAAGGTGCTTATCATACAGAGAGACTGGAGTTCAGCACAGGGCAAGAAAACTAAATATCGACTTCAGGCTTGTCCTCTAACTCTGGCTGGAAGGCTATGCTGTCTAAGAATTAGGCTGCGGGGCCTGTGAGATGGTTTTGCAAGGAAAGGTGCTTGCAGCCAAATTGACAGCCTGAATGTGAGGTTCAGGACCTACATGGTCGAACAACTGACTCCCACAAGTTCCCCTGACCACCACATGTGCACTGTGGCGCATACACAGCACATACACATGCTAACTAAAAACAACTAAAAATGAAAGGATGTCAGTTTTCAACATAGAGAATGAGCCACAGAATAGGTTAATCCCATTAGACAGACAGACTTGGAGCCAGAGGGGGAGAAAACAAAGCTCCAAAGGGAGGGAGTATAAGAACTAGTAGTCCCATCTGGCAGGAGTCAGCCAAAGCTTCAGCTGGGCCTTGAGCCTGGGTATCTTGAGAGCTGGTGGAGAACAGGCTTTCTTGCTGCATGTGGCTCTGGTCTCAGCAGGCCTGGCCCCAGAAGTCCCTCCTTCCCAGGGTGAGACTAACCGTATGCTGCTTTAACTGCCTCTTCTCCAACTTCTTGTTACATTTGCACGTCACCTAGAATTAAAAAGAGTCAATCATTGGCTCTGTAACAATATGCTCCCCTATGGACACCCGGGAATGGGCAGTTCACCTGGCAGTGCTCTGTGGCCATGTGAACATCCATGTCTGATTTGGGGAACGGCTCCTTGCAGACAGGGCACACACCAATGTTCCTTTGACAGTGGATTTCATGGATGGTAAAATTAAACACGGGAATTTCCTTTTTGCTACAGAAATAAGACAAAGAAAAAGGCAAGCATTACTGAGAGATGACTTTTCTCATAGTCGGAGCACATGGACAACAGTCCTGTAGGTCTTTGTCTCCATATATATTTTGGTGTCTTTTCACACATGATCTCATGGAGCCAGACTGGCCTCAAGTCACTATGCTTCCTTTCTCTACCTCCCAAAGGCAGGACTATAGGCGTGGACCACCATGCCCTGCTTGCTTTTTGAGACAGGTTCTCACACTGGGACACAGTCCATCCTCAAATTCATAGCAACCTTCCTGCCCTAGCTTACTGAGTGTTGGAAATGGAGGTATAACCTATCTTGCCTGGCCAACAATTTTTATTTCTGTTTATTTGCTTATTTGCTACTGTTTTACTTTAAGACAGGTTCTTGCTAGTGTAGCTTTGGTTGACCTATCACACCTTCCTCAGCCTCTTAGGTTCAGGAAACCTTCTAACCTTGATACTCCCATGTCCTGGAATGTCATATACCATAAGCAAAGAGGTAAGCACAAAACATTTCAGGGGTTGGTGAGATGGCTAAGTGACCGTAAGGTCTTGTTGCCAAGCCTAGCAACTTAAATTTGATCCCCAGGGTCCACATGGTAGGTGGAAAGAGAACTGATCCCACAAAAGCGCACCGCCACTGCCTGGCTTAGTTTCTTCCTTTTTTTTTACATGCACCTCATGAAGGCAGGTGTCCATGGAGACCAGAGGTGCCTGATTCCCCTAGAGCTGGAGTTACAGGCAATGTAAACGGTCCTTCAGGCAGGCCAGCAGCTCAGTCCACCATACCAGGCCGCTTTTCTTCTTTAAGTTGCTGTGCTCTGATAACCTTGTTTTCGCTAGCCTTTCCCTTGTGCTGCCTGAACTCCCTGAGCACAGTTATTTATACGCGGTCCCACACCTCAGACTCCTTCCAATTAGAACAGACTGAAAATCAGGGTGTCTCAGCCAAATGTCATTTTGCTTCTCAAGTCACATTTTCTCATTTTATCCATGCCAATGAATGGAGCCACTGGCCTCCAGATAATAATGCTTGGAGAAAAGTGGCAGGCAGGGGGCACCAGTGGAAAGCCACTGCTGGGTATGGGGCTTGCTGTACCAGCACAACACCTGAGTTTAGATTCCCAAGCATATGTAACAGCCAGGTGCCATGGCAGAGACAGGCAGATTTGGGGCTTGTGACCAGCCAGTCTTGCTGAAATGGCAAAACACCCACTACACATGCACACAAAAAGAATAAAACATTCTTTCTTCCTTAGTTTTCATGAGAGTATTAGTGAAGAGGCTGGAAGGATGTCTCAGAGAGTAAGAACACTCATTGCTCTTGCCAAGGACCAAGTCAAAACTACAGGGTGACTCACTACCACCTGTAACTCCAACCCCAGGGGATCCAGCTCCCTCTTCTGGTCACCATAAGCATGAGCCACACACATGGTGCACATACATATATGCAGACAAACCACTCACACATTAAACAAACCTCGAGAGAGAGAGACTATATGTGTATTCCTGGGTCCAGGAATAGTGATGCATGCCCATAATCCCGGCACTCAGGAGGCTAAGGCAGGGAGATCCTGACTTGCAGCTACACTAGACTACAAACCAAACTCGAGACTAGTCTAGGGCTATACAGCAAAACGAACCTTGTCTCAAAAAAAAAAAAAAAAATCTTGTCTCAAATGAGAGGGAAAAGTCTTGAGAAAGCCATATCAGGAACTAGCTTAGCTACTCTCACATACCTGCCTAGTTCTTATTCCAATAGGCAAAGGCACCTCATGGTGGTAATAGAGAGCAGAGTCCCTCTGACCATGGGTACGAAGTAGCACTCACATAATGTGTGTGTGTGTGTGTGTGTATGTGTGTGTGTTTGTTTTTTGAGACAGGTTTTCTCTGTGTAGCTTTTGCGCCTGCCCTGGAACTCACTCTGTAGACCAGGTTGGTCTCGAACTCACAGTGCTGGGATTAAAGGCGTGTGCCACCACAGCCTGGCTTAAGTTTCTCTTTCAACACTTGGGTTAAAAACATGAAAATATTATGCTTAGCATTCAAGACTGTGCAGCACAGACTTCACCAGGGTCTTCAACCATGACATAATGACAATTAAACGTGGGTGCCTTAGGAGTTTGGTTCCTGCCACTGTGCTAGCATATGCCCCAGGTTTATCCCCTGCACTGGAAGGAAAAAAGGGGCAGCGAAGAGGCGTCCTCCGGTGTGCTGCTGCCTGAGAAGCCCTGGGTTTGCTGCCCAGTATTGGAAGGGTTAATACTACAGCTTGGAACAGTAGGTAGTCAGACCTTCAAACCCAGAAAGTAAAGATAGAAGGTCTGTGATTTAAGTCATCTTTGCTATTTGCTGAGTTTGAAACTAACCTAAGTTACACAAACCATCTCAAAAAGGAAAGTCCAGCATGTGACTCATAGTTGTCATCCCAGAGCTCTAGAGGCTTCATATCCAACCCCATACCAGCCTGAGCTACACAGCAAGACCCTGTCTCCAAACACCCCCACGACGGAAAGAAAAGAAAAAGTTCATCCTGCTGACTTTTCCACCACCCAAGCACTCCAAGCCAGCATCTGGGGACAGGCAGGTTGATCTTTGAGTTCAATGCCATCCTGGTTTACAAAGAGTTCCAGACCAGCCAGTGAGACCCTGTCTCCTCCAAAAAAAAAAAAAAAAAAAAAAAAAAATCATACTCTGCGGGACATATTAAAAAAAAAAAAATCAGTTCGCTTCTTATTTGTGAATAAAAGTGTAGGGGCTGAAGGTAGCTCAATGACAGAGTGTGCCTACCAAACAGTGAGCTGGTTTTTTTGTTTTTGTTTTGTTTCTTTTGAGACGGGCCTCCCTATATAGACCAGGCTGTCCTGGTACTCACAAAGATCTTCCTGCCTCTGCCTCCTGAGTGCTCCAGTATTTTTTCAATTTTTTAAAGTTTATTTTATTCTATCTATGGGTGTTTTACCTGCATGCATGTCTGTACACATGTGCCTGGTGTTCAGAGAGAACAGAGGCCTTTGGCTCTCCTGTAACCGGAGTTTCAGATGGTTGTGAGCTACCACTGGGCACTGGAGACCAAACCTGGGTCCTCTGGAAAAGCAGGCAGTGCTCTAACCACTGAGCAATCTCTCCAGCCCTAGTCCTATCTTGTTAAGTTAATCATTAAAAGCAGGATAGAGCTCCATCCATTCCAGTTCTTATTCTACCAGAGAAACTTTCCTGTCACCCAAATAGTTAAAAGGCTCCAGTTACAATGACTTACACAATTTAGGGTCACAACCTGCAAATAAAACACCCATACAGAGCTGCTATGGCCTCACGTCAAACCTTTAGATTCCATGTCTTACCAGTTGTCACACAGCCGAGCAGCTTGGTCATCTGCAAACTCAGCCATCTTAGCTCTTTCTGAAAAATGCAAAGGAAGAGTGTCACTTTCTGTTTCATTTCTGCTTTAGGGATGACATGCATAAGAATGAAAACTTGGGGCATTCCTTTTCACTGTTTCTTTTTTAAATTTCTAATTTAAAAAATAATTAACTTTTAAAAAAAAGCTTAAAATACAAAGACCTCCTTTATGCCCTTCACTCAACTGAAGTAAAAGTTAACATTCTTAAGTCCTAATACTAACTTTAAAAATAACTAACTAATCTACAGACTTTATTCAAATAGCAGTGAGGCCACCAACTCCTTTACTGGTTCAGTTTCAACCCTGGAACACATAAAGCACTTAGATGCTGCCCCTCACTCTGATTTGAAAGTGCCCTAGTTTTTCTCTCTCAGGGCTAATTCAGCTAGTTAGTACCTTAATCAGAGCTTGTTAACTACTAGCAGTTATTGGTAGTTTCCAGCTAATGGCTTTGTAGAAAAACCTTCAGTCTGGGTTTGTCTAATGTTTTCTTGGGACTAAATTCATGCTATACAACAGGAGTACATTGACTTAAAGAGCCTAGGATGGCCCTGTGTTCCCTGACCAGCCATACAATTGGGCATGATGGTACATGCCTATAATCTTATCACTAGGGATATGGAAGCAGAAGAATCAGAAATTCAAAACCTTCTGGGCGACATGGTAAGTTAGTAAGTTCAAGACCAACTTGGGATGGCATTATACCCTATTTCAAAAAAAAAAAAAAAAAAACTAACTCCCCCCCCCAAAAAAAAAGATCAGTAACAGAGAGCTCATGTTATGTTGGTACATCGGATCAAAAGGGAAAAGGAACAGAATGACTTGTGACGCTGCCTACTTAGTTGAGATGGAGCCTACCATGTTTTTTTCTGTCAAATTTGAAGCCCTCCTACCAGGCACGCCAGGCAAAGGCGAAGCGCTCCAGCCCTTTCTCCCGCTTTCCATACAGAGGGCGAAGCGCTGGCAACTGCAGCGCTAATGTTTACATCACTCCTTCCCATGACACAGAAATAGATTTAGGTACTGACTGCTAACAAGGCGCCAGGCTGATCTGGACATTGTCAAGTCACCTACCCTTCTCGGTACCCTGGCAACTGAACCTATTTAACCAATTAAAGAGTCCAATGTAGCAGAGCCCGGAAAACAGGCGATGAAACTAGGTAGCCTAAGGTGAGTGTCTAACGGGAAGCTCGCAGACAAAGCGGGCTGCGGGGCGGACGGACCTCTAGCCACAGCGGGGAAGGCTCTGCGAGCGAGCGGGAGGCCCGGGAGCGGAGGCAGGCCGGGCCAGACGCCACGGCGGCGCCTCGGGAGCGGCCGCTCTGCTCTCCGCGGGCCGGAGCGGTTGGAGCCGGCCGGACCTCCTCCTCCCGCCGCGAGCCTCGGCCTCGGCCGCCGCCACCCGCCCCGCCCCACCCCGCCGCCCACGTTCACCTCGGAGCCCAGCGGGAACGCCGCCGCCACAGCCGCCTCGGCCGCCCCGCGCCAACAACGGCCCAGCCACCGGGCCGCTTCCCACCGTCGCCCAGGGGCGCGCCCATTGGTCGGCCGTGGGGCAATACAGGACACCTATTGGACGGCAGCGCTGCCGCTCTCTCTGGTACGTCTCCTCATCCCCCATTGGCTCACGGTCTCGGGGCGTGGCCTTAAGGCCCCTCCCCCTCACATCTGGAAGTGGACACCTCTGCGGGCTCACGCACTGATTGCCTGACTAATACTGGGCAAACATTCTTGTTGTGCCCAGTAAGACGGTGGGTGGCGTTTGTGCTTTGTCATGGTCCGTTAATAGCCACTCGCAGTCCTTGTCATTAACGCTTCCTGGAGGCTCCGATGTGACAGCAAAGTCTCCTTCCTTGGTGGAGCACCTCACCTGAGCTCCTCACACCTAAGTCTAACCTGGCATGCAAACTGCAAAGAGCACACCTAAGCTGTGTGCCTGGAGAGAGGGCCCCGCGGTTAACAGCGCTTGCTGCTCTGAGAGAGGACCCGACTTCCGGTCTCAGCAACCGCAACAGGTCCTTCACAACCTCCTTTAAGTCCATTTCCAGCTTCCATCCTCTGAAGTCCCCTAAACACACACACACACACACACACACACACACACACACGTAACAGAGTGTGTGTATAAAATATAACAGAGAAAAGCAGAGCACAAAGGCACAAATTTTTAATCCCAGCACTCCGGTCTCAACTGCCTATGCACCATACATGACCTTAAACTCAGTATCTCCTGCCTCCATCTCCCAAGTGCTGGGTTTGCAGGCTTACTGTTTTTATTTCTCTCAAATATTTGAAATTAGAACTGTGGGCTCACTGTTGGCTCTGCTGCTGTGGTTACCCATCTTTCTGAGTTTTTGTTTGTTCGTTTGTTTTTGTTTTTAACTAGCAAACTGTTTCCGAAAGTGACTGCATCACTTAACATTCCCATCGGGACGGGAGGAAAGTTCCAGATGCCCCACATGTTCCCAACATGATATAAATACATTCAGAAGAAATAAACAAGAGAATGGGCAGTCCTGTCTCCTGGAAACAACTCACCACCCTCCCTGTGAAAGTGACTCAGAGGCTCCTTTGAATTTCTCCTTTACAGGGGAAAGAAAGGACAGCCCAGGATGATGACTAGCTCAGGCTCGGCTTAACCCTTTGGGTTTGTTAAAATTTTAAATTTTGGGTTCAATGTGGTGGCAAACACATTTAATCCCAGCTCTAGGGAGGCTAAGGCAGGAAAAATCTCTGAGTTCTAAGCCAGTCTGGTTTACATGGTGAGACTCTATGTCCAATAAATAACAAACAATCAAGCAGCCTAGCATGGTGGAGTGGGAGCAGAGGTCGATGGGTCTCAGGGAGTTCAGGACAGCCAGAGCTACATAGAGAGACCCTGTCTAAAATAAAGTCATGGTCAGAGAAGAGGGCTAGTGGAGAAAAGCAAAAAGACCAGTAGAAGAGAGGTTCCAAGAGGGTAATCGAGGGTGAACATGATCAAATACATCATGTGTAAAAAGTCATAATGAAACATATGCTACTAAAAGCATTTAAAATTAATAATATCTGGTCTTGGATAGCCCTCTGCCTCCACATGTGTAGCAGATTAACTGAATCTGAATGTCATAGGCTAAACATCTCCCTGGCTCTGCTGGCTTCAGCACTAACTCTGTGGAATTTGGATAAAGCCCCAGGGGAGGTGGTGCCCTGCCCTTCCCAGCCAAGTCCTAGCCAAGGCTGTCACTATACCTACACCACCCCCACCCCCACTGCCCACCCCTGTTACTATCCACCCTCCCACCTCCCCCACCCCACCCCAGCTCCAGGCTCTCCCTGACAGGAAACCTATGCTCCTAGTCTTTGCCTCTGGCCCTTTCCCTTCCTCCCTCTGACTTCCCAGCAGCTGCTGAGATTTGCAGGCCTCTGGCCTGATGCCCAGCTGCACTGGGACTCACTTTGGAAGAGTCTGAATATTCCATGAATTACAGCAAGGTTCCTCTGGGGTTTAACTCCAGTTTCTTCCAGTTGATGGGTTTGTTTTTGCTACTTCAAGACAGACATTAAGTTACTATCCAGGAGGTGGTGGCAAATGCCTTTAATCCCAGCATTCGGGAGGCAGAGACAGGAGATTCTCTGTGAGACATGAGGATCTCTGAGAGTTCAAGGCCAGCCTGGTCTACAGAGTGAGTTCCAGGACAGCCAGGAAACCCTGGCTAAAAAAACAAAACAACAACAAAGACATGCACCACCATGCCAGACTCCAGATTTGTTATGGAACAGAGTTCCCTTTTAAAATGCATTTTAGGGGCTGGAGAGATAGCTCAGTGGTTAAGAACACTGGTTGCTCTTCCAGAGGACCTGGGTTCAATTTCCCACATTTATGTGGCAGCTCACAATTGCCTGTAACTTTGGTTCCAGGGGACCCAACACCCTCACACAGAAAAACGTACACATAAAATAAAAAAGAAACACCAAATTTTGATGTATTTTATCCATTAGTGCTGGTGTTGTTTATAATGAGGATGATGTTGGTGTGGACTTGGGCATAAATGTAGGTCAGAGGACATCTTTCAGGAATCAGTTCTCTCCTTCCACAATGTGGGTTCCCGGAACTGAACCCTGATGGTCAGGCTTGGCAGCAAGCACCTTTATCCTTGGAGCCATCTTGCCAGCCCCAGATTCCTTTGTATTCTCTAGCAGGGAGTGACTCTCTGGATCCCTGGCAATGCATACAGTACCCCACCATTGAGACCTTCTCATCTTTCACCTGCCTTCTCCAAAGCTGCCAGGGCAAAGGTACGATTGGTTTGTGTTATTTTACATTTTATTGGAGTATAATTACTTACAATAAAGTTCATAAAATTTTTATTACATTTATTTATTTACATAGCAGGAGTTTGCCCATGGTATGTCTGGAAGCCAGAAGAAAACTGCAGGAATTGCTTTTCTCCCTCCAAGCTGTTTTACCCAGTGAGCCAACTTTGCTAGCCCCCTACAGTACATAAATCTTTAGTGTATTGCCCAATGCAAAATTGAACCATATTTGGCACTCACTATGTAGGCCAGGTTAAACTTGTAGAGAGCCCTCTCCCTCCGCCTTTCAAGTGCTGGAGTTACAGGTGTGTAGGTGTGTACCACCACAGCTACATGGAGCTGGGTCTTTTTTTTTTTAATTATTAAAAATGAAACTTTATTAAGAAACCAATAGTGAAAACATAAATGATCTTAGAATTGAAGATATAATAATAAAAATCAGTGGAGGAGCTGGGTCTTGAACCTGGTTTTTCACAGCTGCTAGGCAAACACCTTATCTACTGAGCTGCACTTACAGCCTCTTGTCCTTCCTTTTCTGTGCTGGAGGTCACAAGCTATGCTATGCAGGAGTGCCTGCCTCAGCCCTTGTTTTTTTCATGGTCATGGGAATATTCATTATTGCTGGGGACATAGTTTTGAAACCACTGCCAGAAGCCAGTTTCCTATTGGAGGCGCTAGGCTCTGGCACATTCTGTGGGTGTGTCCTCTGACTCTGAAATGCAATATGCACATTACTTTTCCAGTTCTGAGGCAGAGAGCTGAAGATAATGCCAGCTCTTGGGGGAAATGAGCAAGCAAGAGAGAGGATTTTCTGGTGTTTGAGCAGGAAGGAGGGGGTTCAGCTGACATCTGAACTCATACATATTCATGGCGACAGGGATTGGACCACAGTCCTTGAGCATGCTGGTTACTAGGCAGAGTTCCCAGGAGCTGTGGCTCCATCCCTTTCCTTGAAAGCTTCGTCCATCAGTGCTGCACAGAGTTTTCTGGGTCGAGCAAGTGGAGGCAAGAGGATCAGGAGTTTTAAGATAATTCTCAGCTACATAGGGAATTCAAGACCAGCCATACACTGGACCTTACTTTAAAAAAGAAGCTGGGCAGGCCTGAAGAGATGGCTCAGCGGTTGAGAGCACTGGCTGTTCTTCCACAGGACCCAGGTTCAATTCCCAGCACTCACATGGCAGCTCACAACTGTGTGTAACTCCAGGTCCAGGGGATCTGACACCTTCCCACCAATATACAAAAAATAAAGGAACCCTGTCTCAGAAAAACAAACAAACAAAACAGAAACAAAAGCATTAGTTTACTGGGGGGGGGGGGAAATTGAAATACCCACTGTTCTGGTTAGGCTTTGTTGACTTGACACAAGCTAGAGTCATTTGGAAAGAGGGGACTTCAACTGAGAAAATGCCTCCATGGTCTGTAAGGAAGCTTGTGGGGCATTTTTTTTTTTTTTTTTTTTGTGCAGCCCACTGTGGTTGGTGACACCCCTGGGCAGGTGGGTCTAGGGTATGAAAGACAACAAAATGAGCAGCCGATGGGAAGTAAGCCAGGAAGTACCTTCATTCATGGCTCTGCATCAGTTCCTGCCCTCAAGAACTGCTCTGACTTCACTCAGAGATGAAGTGTGAGCCAGAAGTGTAAGAAGAATGAACCCTTTCCTCCCCAAGTTCCTTTGGACACCGTGGTGTTTATCACAGCAATAGAAACCCCAACTAATGCCCTGTGGTGGTGGTGGTGGTGGTGATGGTGGTGGTGGTGGTGGTGGCAGCGGCGGCGGCGGCACCCACCTTTAATCCCAACAATCCAGAGGCAGGCAGATCTCTGTGAGTCCGAGGCCAGCCTAGTCTGCAAAGCAAGTTCCAGGACAGCCAGAGCTACAGTGAGACCTTAACAAAAATAAATAAATACATAAATAAATAAAAACGAAGGAAGGGTGTAAATTATAGTTTACAAAGCCAGCAAGGGGACTCACAACTTTAATTTTTAGAACTCTAGGTGGCTGAGGCAGGATTATTGCTGTGAATTTGAGGCCAGCCTTGGCTACATAGT